CTTTATAGATGGAGAAATTGGGACACCAAGTAACTGGCTCCAGGTCACACAAACAGAAAGTGGTGAAACTGCGATTTGATCCCAGCCAGTCTCCTCACTAGGCTACACCGCCTCTAATGTTCCCAACTCTATTTTTCGCTTTCTTAAAAATGAATATTGTTCTTAAAATAGAAATAAGTGGTCATTATATGAACTATAGAAAAAAACTTGTAAAAAGTATGATCCAGCCAAATAGTTGATGGTTGATAGTTGCATATTTTCTGGAATCTTTTTTCTACACACTATATATTTTATATCACTGAGAGCAAACCACATGTGTTACTACATGTTACTAAGTCCTGACTGTAGGCTCTATGGTCAAGTGGAGTTAAGCATCATTTCTCTCCCTAACATCCCAGCGTTGCATGGCAGGATAATTTGTTTCTCTATTTCCTTCTCTCCGGCCCTTGCTTAAACAAGGTGGCTCTTTGCTTCTTAAAGTGAGGTTTGTGTCAGAGCAGAAGAATCTTCAGACACTTCAGACAATTCCTTTCCTCAATTCTGTTTCTAAAATGTACACTGAGGAGATTTTTCCAGTGGCCTGGCTGGTTAAAGCAGAAAAGGATAATCTCTGAGAAAAACCTGAAGAGATAGAGCTTCTCTAGTCTAGACCAAACCATGATTTCTGAGGTTGAGGAAAAGGAGTCAGAGAACCAGGGATTTCACCAGAAGAGGAGACCCAGGAAAAAGCCCAGCACCACCCAGTGTCGGCTCCTGGGGAAGGTGGCTGGACCTCAGAGAGGGTGGCTCCATCGCGTATTCTAGGCACTGGAACTCAAACTCAGACACTCCAGGAGCCCAAATACCACAGAGAAGGAGCAGTCAATGAGCCAAGAAAGGCAATGAGTTATTTTTGTTCATTGTTAGACTTTAAAGATTGCTGAATGCAGGGTGTTCTTCAGTGTTTGTCTACTTTTGCAGCAAAGTCTAAATTAAAATAGAATTGAATTTGTTTCTTTCTTGTTGACTTTATCACAAGGTAAGAATAAAAGGGTAAGTAGGATAATACCTTTTTATAATACATCTAATCAAAGAAAAGATGCTTTTTGGAGGAAAAGGGACTAAAATCAAGCCATCATGGTTCATTTAGGCACAAATAAGTTAAAAAATATGTGATAAATCTGGTTGGAAAAAAGCACATGGCCCAAGATCAAGTGTACTACTATGGAGGAGTCAGGAACAATCAGCCAGCTTTAGCTTCAGGAGTGTTAGTTCAGTAACGGATTGAGGCTGTTAATAACTACGCATAAACAAATATATTAAAAGGGTCATCCTACTAAAGAATAGTAATATTTGGTGGCCCAAGGCATCTTTAGTGTGGAACATCTGACTGAACCTAACAAAGGGAGAGAGGAATCAGGTTAGATTGGAAGTGATTATATGGTTGAGAGAGAGGGAGAATGGGAGAATAGGGTAGAAAGGGTACATCAAAATTAATAAGGTCAACTTGGTTCAGTGTTATTCTACAGAAAAACATGAAAATTTTAATCAACTTTTAAGCAGTTTACTCCCTTTTTTTCTCAGACCAAAGTCTCACTTAGATGAATGATCTTGAATGATTTTTTATGATTCTATTACAGTTAGTTGATAAAATACTGTTCCCCCCCACATGAAATTAGTTATCCATTTGTGCTTCCACAATGAGGTAAAGGCATGTGTCAGACCACATGTGTATATACTTTATGTAATGTGGAATATTATTTAAAAAATAGAGGTTATATATTTACCTTTTTTCCCCCCCAAATATATGTCCATAACAATGGTCTGCACAATTATAAGAACCTGGAATCCTAGAAACTTCTCAGCACTGAGTCTGACCAGGAAATCTGTGGGTTTATTACTTGCAGTATATGTGGAAGGTTGTGAATTACACATCTTTTTCTACAAAGGGATACACTCAAATGCTTTCATGGCCAGGCATGAACACAATAGGGAATGGTGACGACTGTGGTGAAGTGGCGCTCATGTGCCCTGTCCAGATAACTCTACTTATCTCTAGTCAATCAGTTCTATCTGAAAGAAAGGTATAGAGTTCCCAGATCTTGCAATTGTTTAAGGGAAGACTGGATGGATTTTTGCGGGAAATGTCTTCATTTTTGAAAGACTAGCTAAGCGAAACAAAACACTACAGCAGTGGGTTTTAACTGCCAAGGGCAAGAAGTTTAGCAGGAGGTGAGCTGTTCTGTGGGGGGGAATAGAGAAGTGAGTAATATATGGGGCTTGGACTATATTTCAATGCAGATCTGTTTTTGTTTAAAAATTAAATTGAAGAATGGGGTCCAAGGCTAATAGTATTGAAAAACACTGCCTTACTGTGGAGAAGAAGCATCTGGTCCCAAACAAGATTTTATTGACATCTTTAATTCACATATCTCTAAAGTTTAACCTACTACTCTTGACTCTGGGAAGTTCTCCAGGAGGCTACCCAGTTTTCTTCCACATTTAATTTAATAGATCCTACTGTGGCACATTCCTATTGATGCCAATTTCTCATCTAACATTCAAGTCAAGAATTAAGGTAGATGTATTAGTGGGAAAGTAATTATTAGCGTTTTTAGAAAATACATAACATACCTTTTGTCATTATTTGAAATAGTATGGTTAAAATCCATTTAATCTGAATGTCATTCTAAAGATAATTTTTAAAGGAAAGCATTTATCTTGACAAACACTTGAGCCAAACAGGATATCTTCCTCCAGCTGCTGTATGAGTGCTTCCAAAACAGACCAAGAAAAAGGATGAAATACTTTTCTTTTAGTAACCTAATTAATTCCCAGGAGAAACAGTAAAGTCAAGTCCTTCAATCAGCCACCAAAGCTTATCTTTCAGAGGCCTTGCTCTTCTAAGATTAAGGCAAATGGTTATGGAGTTGGGTGCTGTAATCAGCGTCTTAGAAAAGAAAGCTAGGAGGTTAAAGAGAATTAATCTTATTTTAAGATGAAAGACCATGCCCCATTCATGGGGAATGAGAAAAAAAAGATAATCATTTTTTTTCTAGTTACCATGTTGGTCAAATATCATAATTTTAAACAAAATTTTAGATACAAATGAATTACAATATCAGGATTTTTCAGGATATAGTTATCAGAAAACTTAAATGTCTTCTTTGTGTTAAACACGTTTTTGCAATTATAATGTACTATACTGCTAACATGTATCTCAAAATAGTTTCTATATATTTGATGTTTATATAAGGATAAATAAGTATTATATTACTCATGTACATGATAAAAATTTATAAACTGAAAATAAAAGAAGCAAATGCAGGAGTTTTATTTCAAACATTAATTTTATATACTTTTAAATACTAGTGGGATATTTTCATATCTGATAAAAATTTTTTGAAAAAATATAAATAATATTTCTTTCACAAAAGAAGTAAACTAAGAGGTGCTATAACTATATTGGCTACCAAAAGTCAATATTATATATTATAAGCACTTGGAAGTTTTAATTGCCTATAAAACCACTTACACACACTAACACAGAAACAATATTGATCTCTTAGAACCAGTCAGAGAAACTAACTAAAATAATTATATTTATATTGGCTTTATGTCAGCAGATTTGGAATCTCTCTGACCTTTTCTTTTATCTCTGTTAAAAAATACATTAATTTTTAAGGACTGTAGTCATTATCAATATATTAAAAAGAGAAAATAGTTTCTAGTGACTCTGATAATTCAACTAAAATCTTGCTAAAGATATGATTCTTCTGTAAATTTTGTCCCATACACCGTAAGAAGGAAATATCAAGTAATTATAAACTTTTAAATATCGGTATTATTTTCTCCTTTTATTGTAGAATAATAACGAAATATTTCTCAGTAAATAATGTAATCAGAATACTATTCAGTATTTAACAATTCTCTGAAATAAAATGAGTTTTTAACAATTATTACTGTCTATCATTAAGCAACAAAGCATCCATAATTAGAAAACTAAAGACTGACAATGGAATTCATAGCCTTCTATTCTTTTCATTTTAACAATACAGCAAATATGGAGTATATGGAAATCCACGCCAGCCACTGTACCAAGTGTAAGCAATATGAAACTGAATAAGATATAGTCTTCATATGAAAAAGAAAAAAACCCACAACAATAACCATTTTATGATAAAATACAAAAATCATGACAGTCATAACGAACCCCAAAATGTGCAATTACATGTCTTCACACCAAACTAAACTGAAACCATTGCACACAAGTAAGTGCATCATCTCGACTTTCCAACTTTTTCCCCATGATCTTAAGGATTGCTATTCTTTATGATAATCTTAATGTAATCCACACATCCCCAGTACAGATATAAAATAGCTGATCTACAAACTTTCACTTAAGGAGAAACATCTAATCTTAAATAGCAAAACAAGAAAACAACTTCATATTTGTAATGTATATAGCCTCCCAAACTGAAGAATTCTACAAATCATACTTCTTAAATACCTATTTGCATATTTACTTAAATATTTTTAAAATATAATGTGTTTTGAGGCATGATTCCCTATTTCAATTCTTGATTTTGACTATTATTTTGTAAAGATTACATAATTAACTAATTATGACCTAGAGTCATCAATGAAAATTTAACCACTTGATAAGGGCTGAACATTTCATTCTAAACTTATTGCTAAATTAACATAGACAAAAGATGTTAAACCTCTAATTCATGTGACATCAAACTACTAACAATGAAATCACTGTCTCTTACGTGCAAGGCAAACAATGTATGCCGTAAAGTATTAATTTCTATTCCAAACATCTACCTTTATTTACCAACTGGAATGACAACAGAACAACAACAACAACAAAAAAGATTTGGCATCTGAAATAAGATCCTTACAGATTAAAGCAGATTACCTCATCATCTATGCATGAACCATCTATCTTACTATAGTAAAATAAATATTTATTAACTATCCTAAAAATAAACAATTATTTTTTGTTTATTTTTTACCTTGAAAGGCAATGGCTCTTCAGTAAGAGGACTAACAGGAAGAGAGGTGGTGCTACTTGCTGGGCTCATATCTGCACTCTGCAAGGAAAACAAAATGGAATTAAAGAGATACTGTTTTGTAGTCATTTTTATTACTCCTAATTTAGACTCTAATCCTTCATGTTAAAATAAAAAAATAAATAAGTGAAATATAGGTGTAGAAAAGTTCAAATTATTATTATACAATGAATGAATCATTTCTTATTTATAAATAGTTATTTTGGAAATTAGTCAAATTATTTCTCAACGTACTTTCCAAGTGCATTTTATTAAATATAATAATCATCTTTTGGGTTAAGATGGTATTTAGTATTATATTTGTTTAATTTCTATTTTTATCTTTTCTTTGAAAATTAAACTATATCTGTAATAATTCACTATGTCGTTAATTTTATGTCTTTCAGATTGATTTTCAAACACATATTATTCATTTTTTTATTTTATAGAGATTTAAATAATGATACCCAGTTTTTATTCATGATGAAAAGCATATCTGCAATTAATACACAATTGCAAAATGAAGAAATATTAAATTTTTAAAATTTCCATATTCGTAGCCCCTAACATTTTACAACCTTTCTTATTATATTATGCTAAACAAAAATTTTAAGGACAAAAGATTTACACAAATATAAGAAAATTATTGGAATGTTGCTAATGCTGTTCTTCTAGTCTTTTAAAAACATAATCAACTAGAATTTCTTAAAGAAGAGATTAGCCTACATAAAGAGATATGAGTTAGATGCTTGTCATTTTTTCTAAAAGCAAGAAAAAGACATTGATAATAGGGAGCAACAGAAGTTATTTTACTACATTCTTAACTCATTGTCTCAGAGGAATTCTTCCAGTTGAGTAGATAAACAAATAAAACATTGAAAAGAATGCACACTATTTTTCAGTCTAAGCTCCAAGTGTACATGCACACAAATACAGAAAATTTTGCAGTAAAGATTAAAGCAAAAGCATGAATCAACCTTGATTGAGTTAAGGGAACAAGTGGACAAGTTTGGCTGACTTAAGTTTCAACAAAAGAACACATTCGAAGAATAGATGTTGCAACTGCTACAAATTCTTAGATTCTCTTTCTATTTAAAGGTTATTTTCAGTTCATTTGATTCAATAAACCAGACACATTTTAAATACTCACTAAAGTGCAATTACTTCTGACTGTCTAGTCCAGAAACAATGGATAAAAACTATAAACACAGGAACCAAGATACTCAATATAATTTTTATATAACATGCACCTACTTTAGAAATTGATGTAAGACTGCACATTGAGTTAAAATGTCTAAAGGAGGAAATTAGGTAAAAATTGAACAATAATTTACTAAAGGAAGCAGGGAAATACATGCAGATAATTGAGGTGAGTTAGTTACTGACTAATTTCTAAATTTACGCAGAGCTTCTTAGCCATTTATTTGATAAAAATCAGGAAATATTCTGAAATGCTGACTTTTGCTATCTGATTATATGATGTAATGGAGAAACAGAAGTTTTCTTAGGAATGATTTACCGCAGGTTTCTAACATAAGAAACAAGTGAAACTTTTTTGTAGAAATAGAAAAACAAGACTCTTGACCTATTTCTCTCATCATTAGATTTCTCATGACAAATGAAGCAAATGATAGAACACAGTTCATATGTAGTTGAATTATCTGATATTTTCCTGAAGTATTGATATTCTGCATAGCATATAAAAGTATCCAGCCCTTAAAAATCATATATTCACGAACATTGATGACATTCACTCATAAAAATTTAAAAGCCTGGATCATATTCTTGCAGATGAAGGTTTTTGAACTTCCATAAGAAGATGAGCTCAAAATCAAGCTTCATGGTAAACTTCTTTTAGGGTTGAGGTCTCCTACAACTTCCCAGAAATAAAGGTATCATTCCAAGCACTTTAGAAAGCAGGCTCTAAAATTTGCATCATGTTTATCTTCCACATATGAGTGAAGTCATGTGGTGCTTCTCTTTCTGTCTGGCTTATTTCGCTTAACATAATACTCTCAAGATCCATCCACGTTGTTGCAAATGGGACGATCTGAACAGATTAGTGGTTACCAGAGGGGAAGGGGGTTAGGGAGTGGGCAACAGGGGTAAGAGGGCACATATGTATGGAGAAGGATAAAAATTAGATTATTGGTGTTGAGCATGATGCAGTCTATACAGAAACTGATATTTATTTATTCATTTTTTTTCTGTGAGGAAGAACGGCCCTGAGCTAACATCTGCCAATCCTCCTCTTTTAGCTGAGGTAGACTGGCCCTGGGCTAACATCCATGCCCATCTTCCTCCACTTTATATGGGATGCCTGCCACAGCATGGCCTGAGAAGTGGTGCATCGGTGTGCGCCAGGGATCCGAACCAGTGAACCCCAGGCCGCCGAAGTGGAGCTCGCGCACTTAACCGCTTGCGCCACCCGGCCGGCCCCCAGAAACTGATATTTAATAATGTACTCCTGAAATTACACAGTTATAAACCATCATTATGATCTCAATAAAATAATTTAAAAAAATAAAATAAAAATTTGCATCATGTAACCTTGATTCACTGAATATCATTCTTGGAGAAAACTTTGTTCTAGCTTTCACTTTCAAATCCATCTTATAGTGTGACACTTTAATTCTATTGCTGTTAGGGAATCTTGAGAAAAATGTTTTTAAAAAAACAAATCAATCTTAGATGACAACATCTGATAAAGTGCACTTTATCAAGTTGAGAAATACATACCAAAAAAATAGAATAAAAATATCTTAATTTTTAGCTTATTATTTTTCCATTTGTGTTTCAGTGATCTGTAATTTGGGTGTCATTCCAATTTGTCTACGCTTTTAGATAAAATACTACAGTAAACCTTTCAGATATAAGTCTTATCAATACTTCCTATTTTAATTCATTTACCCTTTCATTCAGTGATAGCAATACCAACTCAATTGTACATCTAAATACAAATTAATGAAGTACTTCATAAGTTACATTTGACGTTTTTAAAAGATAACAGTATGTGTCTTCCAAATTTTCTTCATAAAATATTTTGTTAGAATTATGGCTTCATCTGCTTTTAATATATTTCAGCGACTTTGAAAATGGTTGGTTCACATAATGTGAAAGTCAATCCCGTGGGAATATAGAAGAGTTATTCTGTACAAGAAGCAAATCATCCCAACAGAAGGAATCTCCTTAATTCTGATGTAACTCACTTGGGTTTTTGACCATTGGAGACTATACTAGATGTTCTTGACAGGTTATAAGGAGCCTATCCTAATTCTAACAGGTGTCCTAAAACTTGGTTTTCTGGTTCTAAGTCCGATAGACACCTGCTTCTTTCCAACATTAGAGTGATTAAATGATACGAACCTAACATTTTTCCTACACTTAAAATGTTACTTTCTCCCTTTCTATTTCTATCTCATGTATGTTCTCTTTTATTTTTCTCCAAATTGAGCAAAACATTAAGTATTATCTTTAAGTTTAATAATAAAATCTAGACAAGTATTTGCCTTTGAGAAAATCAGAGATATTCTAGGGAATATCACCCTCTTCTCATGCATATTGTTCCTCAGAACTCTCTCTACTCATCTAGTTTTGAAGAAATTACTCACTTTGTTGTTGCTGATTTTAGGACATAAGTTCTCTAAATTTGCACACTATCTCATCCCTCAGCTCCAACCCATCTTCTTTTTAAAATCAACTCTATTGAACTATAACATACCTATACTAAAATGCAACTTTTTAAAGTGTATAGTTAGATGAGTTTTGACAAATGTACCCACATGTGTAACCACCACCAAAATCAAGACACAGAACATTTCCATCACCTCAAAATGTTCCCTCATGTTCCTTTGCATTCAAGCACCTCCCATCCCTGGTCACAGGCAACACAATATCCTATATCACTATAGGTTAATTTTGCCTTCCCTGGAGTTTAGTATACATGGAAATGTACAATATGAATTATTTTCGGTCCAGCTTGTTCACTCAGAAAAATTATTTTGAAATTTATCATATCATGTCATTGCATGTTTCAGTAGTCTATCCTTTTAAATGTGGACTACCAAGTAGATGGGACATCACTAGGAACAAATCCAACACAGAGCCAATCCAAGAAATGGAGAGAAAGAAACTGAGTCCTAAGGACATATATGACATTCTGATAATCTCTATGATAATCTGATAATCTCTGATAAAGCTCTATGTAAGTAATAATGTTCATAAGGCACTGTACCTAAGATTTAAGCATCCTTTTTAATACAGGAATAATCACTATGGTTGGAAAGCTACAAGTTATAGAACTTAAAATTTGGAATTGGCTGACACAAGTAGAGCAGAGATCCCAGATGCTATTCTGTTTCAGGCTGAGAAGTTACGACTATTTATGTGACAGCAAAATAATTTATTAAATTATTTTCTAAATTTTGGGGGACACAGATTATATATTTTTGAATCTGGAGTTTCATGAGATTTGGTCAAAAAACGCCTGTTAACAACAACACAATAATAGTAGGGGAACTTAATACCCCACTAACATCAATGGATAGATCATCCAGACCAAAAACCAATAAACAAACAGTGGACTTAAATGAAAATCTGGACGAGATGGACCTAGTAGACAGATACAGAGCACTTCATCCAAAAACAGCTGACTACACATTCTTCTCAAGCACGCATGGAACATTCTCAAGGATAGACCATATGTTGGGAAACAAGGCAAGCCTCAATAAATTCAAGAAGATTGAAATCATAACAAGCATTTTTTCAGACCATAATGCTATGAAACTGGAAATCAACCATAAGAAAAAAACTGGGAAAGTGACAAAGATGTGGAGGTTGAATAACATGCTACTGAACAACCAATGGATCACTGACAAAATTAAAGGAGAAATCAAAAAATATCTGGAAACAAACGAAAATGAAAATATGCCATACCAACTCACATGGGATGCAGCAAAAGCAGTCCTGAGAGGGAATTTCATAGCAATACAGGCCCACCTCAACAAACAAGAAAAAGCCCAGATAAGCAATCTTAAAT